AGGGGTGGATTTTGGCAGATGGAAGGTCACTAGAGAAGCATGTGCAGGATGGGTATGATGATGTGTATGCAGGGTGGTGGAGGTGAGGAGGGCGTGCATGAGCATCCATGCCTTAATATGTGTAAAGTGCACATCAACTTGTGTTATTTGCATAACCGAGGCCTACGCGAATGGTGGAGACCCTCTCACTGCCTTCTTCGATGTCGACGCAGGTCTCTGGCAGTTCCCAGCCGTAGGAGTCGTCGTACATCTGATGCTCGTCGGGTTGATCGAGCCAAGGAACAAAACGTAGAATCAAGCCTTGACGACCGGAAACAAGAAAAGAGGATTAAGAAAAGGTCAGACAAGGCTGGGGTGAAGGGTGAGTAGTAAAATGGATTCAGATTTGATGAGAATCCCTTACTAGATTCATGTTGGTGTGCCTTACATCTCGTTTGAAGAGGGGTGTGGAAGGGATTCGTAAGTTGGTTCCACCGGTTCCACAACCTCCGGTGGAACCGACTTACGAATCCTTTCTACAAGCTTCTTCAAACGAAATGAAAGTTACTTCAACATGACTGGAATCTGGTTCTAGAAGATTGAGGCATTGATAAGATACATATCAAATTAAATGTCATGTACAAAATTTGCTCAAGAATGAAAACGGAATATTTTTGTTAGTCGACCAATACTAAAACGTTCCACACATCGTTCTAGTGACTCGTGTCGCTTCATTCTGCATCAAGTGAAACTTATACACCGACCGAGAGGATAACAATAAAGATAAAATCCCGTGAATAATGTTGATGTAATTATATCCAGCTCTGTCTCCAAAAATACTTTCCATTCAGGCTGGACCACAGCTTCGGTAAAATACACTAATCGGACGTCAGTTATGAGACAAGGTGAGTCTCACAATTCACTTTAAAATTAGCGTTGTTACTCATAAGTAGCGTTGCGTAAATATACAAAAGAAGTATAAAGCAGTCCAAATTTCAACATCAGATGAACATGTATTGTGGCCATTTTTAGAGGTTTACCTGTTGCTAGACCACCGACGATTGAGATGGCCAGAGTGCATGCCATGCAGGCGAGTTGGTAGGCACCCTGCAGATGTCGACTTCTTCCTTTGCCTTCGGTGATGATTTCGGAGCCGTAATAAAGGTTGTTTACTGTGAAGGGCTAAAGTTAAGGTTTTCGTATAAAAGAAAAGGGTAGTGATAAGCAAAAAGTGAACTGACGGCATTAGCGGAATATATCGTGTTTAGTGCCCCCGCAGAGATTCCAGTCAAACGGTTTTTTTGTGAGGATTCGGTGACTTCAAGCATTCTGAATATCACCTCTAGGGGTATATCACATGTGCACATATGAATTTAAAAAAATATATATATATACAAATGGGCAACAACAAATTATGAAGGGAAAGTTTACACATTTCCTTCTCTTAAAAAGG